CGACGTTCCGCGCTGCCTTGGGCCCAGCAGACGCCTCCGCCGCTGTGATCTCCACTATCTCGACCTCATCCTCAGGCTCGGGCGACGACTCGGAGGGAGGAGTCGGGACGCGAGACAGTCGTGCTTTCCCCTTACCGCGCATCGAGGTGATGACGACCTCCACCTTGTCGCCCCTTGGGAGACCGGGGGGTCGCGACAGTGCTGGCTGGGGCGCAGGGGGTGGGACGGCGGTGGTGGATGGAGACGGTGTTGGGACGCGGACGGGAGGGGTGGGGGCGACGGCTGAGACACTGTTGGGGCCAGGCCCACGATCGGGAGTGGCTGTGGCGACGGTGACGCGACCAGGCGGGGGAAGGGCGGAGGGTGGGACGGCGGTGGTGGATGCAGACGGTGTTCGGACGGGGACGGGAGGGGTCGGGGCGACGGTTGAGACAGGGTCAGGGCCAGGCCCACGATCGGGAGTGGCTGTGGCAACGGTGACGTGGCCAGGCTGGGGAAGGGCGGCGGCGGCAGAGGCACGCTCGAGGTCGATGTGGGCGTCGTATGCCGCGATCATGGCCTTGAGCGCCTCCTCGCTCTTCTTCTGGTGGAACTGGATGAAGCTGTGGATGGTCTTGCCCATGACAGTGGACCGGAAGTGCTCTGCCCGCTCCGGGGCCACCCTGACGGTGAACGGTAAGCATGCCGCCTTCTGTGTGCGATGGCTCAGTCAGCACGAAACCCTAACCGACGACGATCTCCTTACCGCGTTCCCAAACTCGCCTAGGAGGGCCGCCCGGGTTTCAGGAGTGTCGCGAACTTTGATGGCCTGGAGTAGGCGTCGAAGGCGCCCGTCAGCGAACTCGAGATCCTGGTATGCGGTGGCCATGTCGCACAGGTGGAGTGGCGGTGGAGGGAGAAGTTTTTTTCCCCAGAGTTCAACCCGTCAACCAACACAGGGCACAACAAGGCCCTTTGCCCACGCCACAAGTGTGACCATCGTGACGTGACTTTGCTGATCTCCAACCACGATGAGCGTGGCCAACTTTCAGGAGCTCATCGACTACTTCGACTACCGCCTGCGCGCCGCCTGCCTGCGGGTGACCTCGCTCGGACACTCCAATCGCCGATCGTGGATGAAGAAGAAGCTCGCAGGAGAAATCGTGCGTGGCCCCGCGCAACCCCCACGTCGCGTTCACTGATCGTCTGCACAGCATATCGCCCTCTCCCACGTGGCTGCGGCTTACGGGCGCGGCTTCACGCCTTCTGTGCCCCCGTTTCTCAGCGCCCTCTCCCGCGAGCTCCAGCCGCCCGAGACCGTCTCGTTCGACATCGATTCCATAAAGCGTGCGATGGAAAGAGCACACGTTACGCGTGCCACAACCCACGGCGAGGGCATAGCCCTCGACTGGTGGACCACCCTCGACAACGAGAACGCGCCTAAGCGCAGTCGACCAATGACCGACAACGTTCCCGAGCTGCTGGAGGAATATCGTCGCCACAAAGCCTCCACGACTTTGGCGCGCGACCTTTCCGACCACGAGGTGTTCGCCGACGAGGACGTTCCCGAGAACGAGCTGTTCTCCGAGGAAGAGGTGTTCCCAGAGGTGGACTGTGCCGAGAACGAGTTGTTCCCGGACGACGTGGACACGTCCGGGTGGATGGATCCTCTCGTACTGTTTCCCTCGGAGGACGGTGGGGACATGAGCGTCGAGGTCTAGGCACTATACCCCAGTAGCACTTTGTAGTTTGCGCGCTCCCACTATGCACGTTTGTGTTCCTCGGCCGAAACACCTGGGCGGCCATCAGAAAGCTTAGTCATGGTACAACCCAAAATAAAAACAGGGAGCGAAATTTTGTTTCACTCCATCTTCCTGCTTCACCACCACATGCAGTCTGCCATGGTCACCTCGCATCCAGAAACTGGGATCGCGTCCGATGAGCGCGATGCGGAGGTGAGTCTCGACGTGTGCGGGACAAGCGTCGTCGCTGACACCCCCTGACCCAGGTTTCCGACGTCGCCCGAGCCATGGGCGACGGACAGGCGGTCGACCCCGTCTCACCGTCGCCAGACCGAGGGCGAGAACTCAAGAGGGGACAGGCTTCCCCAGCACCTGCGACCTTGCACTCTTTGGAAACCATAGTCACCTCGCGTCCAGAAGCCGAGATCGCGTCCGATGAGCGCGATGCGGAGGTGAGTCTCGACGTGTGCGGGACAAGTGTCGTCGCTGACACCCCCTGACCCAGGTTTCCGACGTCGCCCGAGCCATGGGCGACGGACAGGTGGTCGACCCCGTCTCACCGTCGCCAGACCGAGGGCGAGAACTCAAGAGGGGACAGGCTTCCCAAGCACGTACGACCTTGCACTCTTTCCGCACCCGTTTGTGGCTGACGCGCTTTGCTGGCCAGCCACCGACGCCAATCCTGCACCAGCCAAACGGCCTCGTCGCGACCGCGACGAAAGGGTCACCGCGTCGCCTCACCAGCCCGATGAGAACACCGCGCCCGCCGCCGCGCTCCGCACCGTGGACACCAACACTTCTGCCAGTAGCCCCTCGCGCACGCCGGTTTTTAGGATCCGCATGCGACTCAGTAAGTTGCCCCTCCCCTCATACCCTGCGCTTCGCCTGGGAGCTGATCGTCCTCCAGCCCACGAGCAGAACGATATACTCCACGAACTTAGAACACAGATGGGAACCCTGCGACGGGAGGTGGAGGCCCTTGAATTCGTGGTAGAAAATCTACAAAACCGAGTGGAAAACGTCGAACACCAGGTGGTGTACACCCGAGAGCGAGTGTATGATCTCGAGGACGGGATGCCATAGTGCCATTATGATACACAAAACAAGTCGATTTCTTGCGTTAGTGTTTTGTAGTGCCTGCATACACATTGAGCGCGTGAGCCCTCTACAAGAGAACGAAAGCGATGTCGACGAGCGAAGACGTCAGGCGGGGGGAGATACCCGCGGGAAAGGAGCGACCTAAAACCTTAGTCATACAAATATCCCGAGTGAAATTTTCCTTTCGCCCACCATGACCACTGTGCCTCCAGCAACACGGACTCCCTGCCACGATCTTGAGCTGCCTGCGAGGACGACCATGGACTTCAAGGTCAGTCAAGATCCGTGGCCCCAGCGCTCTCACTGACGGCCGCGCTGCCCAGAGCCCTGATGGCGCCAATGCGCTGCAATCAACGCGCGATGAAGATGCGCCGCTAATGTGCGTCCACCCGGTCTCCAACATCCATGGTGGCAGATGTTCGCCGAAAGGAGTGCTCAAGAGGGGACACCCTTCAGCTGCTGGTACGATCCTGAGAAATCTCACTACCACTCACTCGCTGACGCACCGCACTGAGTAGCGGCCGACGCCAATCCTGCACCCACCAAACGCGATCGTCGCGACGGGAGCGACACGGAGTCCGCGTCGCCTAACCCGGGTGATGAGAGCAACTTAACCGCCCCGGCAGTCCACGCGCAACACACGAACGTGGGGGCCGCCGCGAACAACGTCTTGAGGCGACAGCCGTCCATGGGACGTATTGCGGTTAGCATTCGGTCCCAACTCAGTAAGTCCCCCCTGATCACGCCCACTCCCGCCTTACCCCCAGTGTTCCCCAGCTCAAGAACAGCACCATATCGTTGGGGACCTCCAACGCGAGTTTGAGTGCCTGCGAGAGGACATCGATGCCCTCAGAACCGACGTCGAAACTCTGAAACACCAGCGTAGTACAGGTGTCGACCGTTCGCCTCACCCGGTGTGAAACGCTCCCGGTCGCACACTGGGGAGCAATGGCGGCAGTGAGGGTACACCATGGACTCTTAGCGGTTACGGTTGCTCTCACAAATGATGAATATGGACTCCATTGACATTGGCGACCACGACGACAGCAGGCAGTCCAAAACGCGCAGCGCCGGGGGTGCAGAGCGAGGCGACAATGCGTGGGTGAAAAGAGCGATCAAAATGCCAAATGACCCATACGGCTGACTAAGCAAAACAGGCGAAAATGCATGGGTGAAAAGAGCGATCAAAATGCCATATGACCCATACGGCTGAATAAGCAAAACCGCCTGCCCCCCGCCAAACCACTGCTGCAAAAAGCGAAAATGGGTGATGTAATGGACTGCTACCAATTACCGTTGCACTCAGAGATAATGAATATCGACTCCACTGACGGTGGCGACGCCGACCACAGCAGGCAGTCCAAAATGCGCAGCGCCGGGGGTGCAGAGCGAGGCGACAATGCGTGGGTGAAAAGAGCGATCAAAATGCCAAATGACCCATACGGCTCACCAAGCAAAACCGCGGTGCAGAGCGCAGGCAGGCGAAAATGTGTGGGTGAAAAGAGCGATCAAAATGCCAAATGACCCATACGGCTGACTAAGCAAAACAGGCGAAAATGCATGGGTGAGAAGAGCGATCAAAATGCCAAATGACCCATACGGCTGACTAAGCAAAACAGGCGAAAATGCATGGGTGAAAAGAGCGATCAAAATGCCATATGACCCATACGGCTGAATAAGCAAAACCGCCTGCCCCCCGCCAAACCACTGCTGCAAAAAGCGAAAATGGGTGATGTAATGGACTGCTACCAATTACCGTTGCACTCAGAGATAATGAATATCGACTCCACTGACGGTGGCGACGCCGACCACAGCAGGCAGTCCAAAATGCGCAGCGCCGGGGGTGCAGAGCGAGGCGACAATGCGTGGGTGAAAAGAGCGATCAAAATGCCAAATGACCCATACGGCTCACCAAGCAAAACCGCGGTGCAGAGCGCAGGCAGGCGAAAATGTGTGGGTGAAAAGAGCGATCAAAATGCCAAATGACCCATACGGCTGACTAAGCAAAACAGGCGAAAATGCATGGGTGAAAAGAGCGATCAAAATGCCAAATGACCCATACGGCTGAATAAGCAAAACCGCCTGGCCCCCACGCGTTTGTATGACGCGCACACGCCTGTTTCTGACTCTATTCTATTTGCAGCTGCACGGGGAATTCTGAGGCGATGCCACCTTTAACATGGACACATGGTATAATGGTTATCACGCACACTTTGTCTGCGACTTAGCGGGCGGTCCCCGGTTCAATTCCCGGGTGTGTCTTGGGTGTCTCGTTGATTTTTTTGTCCCAGAATGTATGCATCCTGCTCGTTCGTCTTCCAGCTCATCATGAAGAGCAAGGAGAGGGGGAATCGTGGCGGGGGTGCAGAGCGAGGCGACAATGCGTGGGTGAAAAGAGCGATCAAAATGCCAAATGACCCATACGGCTGACTAAGCAAAACAGGCGAAAATGCATGGGTGAAAAGAGCGATCAAAATGCCATATGACCCATACGGCTGAATAAGCAAAACCGCCTGCCCCCCGCCAAACCACTGCTGCAAAAAGCGAAAATGGGTGATGTAATGGACTGCTACCAATTACCGTTGCACTCAGAGATAATGAATATCGACTCCACTGACGGTGGCGACGCCGACCACAGCAGGCAGTCCAAAACGCGCAGCGCCGGGGGTGCAGAGCGAGGCGACAATGCGTGGGTGAAAAGAGCGATCAAAATGCCAAATGACCCATACGGCTGACTAAGCAAAACAGGCGAAAATGCGTGGGTGAAAAGAGCGATCAAAATGCCAAATGACCCATACGGCTGAATAAGCAAAACAGGCGAAAATGAAAAGAGCGATCAAAATGCCAAATGACCCATACGGCTGAATAAGCAAAACAGGCGAAAATGAAAAGAGCGATCAAAATGCCAAATGACCCATACGGCTGAATACGCAAAACCGCCTGCCCTCCGCCAAACCACTGCTGCAAAAAGCGAAAATGGGTGATGTAATGGACTGCTACCAATTACCGTTGCACTCAGAGATAATGAATATCGACTCCACTGACGGTGGCGACACCGACGACGCACCGCTAACACATACAGCGCAAGTGCGGGGTTTCCATTGACACACGAAAATGAAAAATACAAAGATTGAAAAAAAAATGGTCATGGCGGCAACACATACATCAACGGACGTCCCTTTCCTGGCCTGCGCGGTGTGACCTTTGACACTTGAAAATGAAAAAAATTACTAAAAGTGGTCACTAACCCTAAAGTGGTCGTCGCCGAGGACAATGGCGGCGGGGACTGCACTCACAACGGCAAACACCTCACAAGGACCGACCACTCGTGCGGGACCGGGGTCACCTGCTGGACGCTGGAAAATGAGAGAAAACAAACCAAAAATCGTGGCCGCCGCCGGCGACTACGGGGGCGACGGACCAGGCGACGGGTATAACATTCGCAGAGGCGGCGACCGCACCTTATACACGTCGGATGGAAAAAGACGGGGCTTGCGATTTCCAATTTAGACGAAAGATTCGCACGGAGGTCGTCGCCATAAAGAACGACGTCTAGCGGGCTCATTTCTTCGCGGTTCCCCGCGGTGCAAGCGGAACCGCAGACGGTTCCCCCTCCCCGAGGCCGTGGAGGGTGCACCGCTGCGCGGTGCGGTGGGTGCTTCCCTGTGCGGCACAGGGAAGGAAGAATATGGATAGGAGCGTACATGTATCTATGCAGGCTACGTCCCGCCCCAACTTGTAATCCAGTGCAGGCATATCGCAGCCCAACCCTGTTGCCCAAGTCCACATCCGCCGTATCCCAGCCCTGCACCCCAAGTCATACCCCAGCCCATATCGCAGCCCAAACCTGTACCCCAAGTCCAACCCCCATCCGTCGTACCCCAGTGTGTATCCCAGCCCAACCCTCTGCACACCCCAGTACGTATCCCAGCCCAACCCTCAACACACCCCAGTGCATATTACAGCCCAACCCTCCAGACACCGCAAGGCGTACCCTGCATCCCACACCCAAGTCATATCCCAGCCCATCTCAACACTCCACCCCAGGTCCCGCCCCAATACGCATTCCAGCCCAACCCTCCGCACACCCCAGTACATATCCCAGCCCAACCCTCAACACACCCAAGTGCAAATCCCAGCCCAACCCTCAGCAAATCCCAAGGCGTACCCCTCCTACACCCCAAGTCATACCCCAGTCCGTATCACAGCCCAACCCTGTACCCCAAGTCGAACCCCAGTCCACATCCCTGCCCAACCCTGTACCCCAAGTCGAACCCCAGTCCCCATCCCTGCCCAACCCTGTACCCCAATCCAAAAATTTTTCAACCCTAATTTGTACCCTAGTCCAAAAAAAAAGTCTCTAGATAACCCTGGGCCAAGTCCCAACCCAAACCTGCACTGTATGTGTAAATCGCATTGCGGCACTTTGACAAGTGCACATGGTATAGTTGGTTACACGCCCGCTTAATGCAGGCTAAGCGGGTGGTCCCCGGTTCGATTCCGGGTGTGTGTTATCGCATGATATACAAAACCCTTTTTTGGTTTTTTGTGTGCCTGATGCTATTATGACGTTGTAAGGATTAAGAGGGTGGTCCCTGGTTCGATTCCGGGTGTGTCTTCACACGGTATACAGGTCGGTTTTTTTGGTTTCTTGTGTGTAATCACATTCACAGCTCCTCCTCGAAGAGGAGCGTACATGTATCTATGCAGGCTACGTCCCGCCCCAACTTGTAATCCAGTGCAGGCATATCGCAGCCCAACCCTGTTGCCCAAGTCCACATCCGCCGTATCCCAGCCCTGCACCCCAAGTCATACCCCAGCCCATATCGCAGCCCAAACCTGTACCCCAAGTCCAACCCCCATCCGTCGTACCCCAGTGTGTATCCCAGCCCAACCCTCTGCACACCCCAGTACGTATCCCAGCCCAACCCTCAACACACCCCAGTGCATATTACAGCCCAACCCTCCAGACACCGCAAGGCGTACCCTGCATCCCACACCCAAGTCATATCCCAGCCCATCTCAACACTCCACCCCAGGTCCCGCCCCAATACGCATTCCAGCCCAACCCTCCGCACACCCCAGTACATATCCCAGCCCAACCCTCAACACACCCAAGTGCAAATCCCAGCCCAACCCTCAGCAAATCCCAAGGCGTACCCCTCCTACACCCCAAGTCATACCCCAGTCCGTATCACAGCCCAACCCTGTACCCCAAGTCGAACCCCAGTCCACATCCCTGCCCAACCCTGTACCCCAAGTCGAACCCCAGTCCCCATCCCTGCCCAACCCTGTACCCCAATCCAAAAATTTTTCAACCCTAATTTGTACCCTAGTCCAAAAAAAAAGTCTCTAGATAACCCTGCAACACTGAGAAGAGTAACTCAGCATCGGACTCCGTGCGAGGAGGGAATAGCTACCTGCGGTGCCATGCTTCATCCTCATCCTCAGCTGCTCGATCTTCTGCACCTTCTCAATCGTTGCCGGCTTGGGGTTCTTGGAGGTGACCTCCATAGGTTTGATCTGAGAGTATATCTGATTAGAAAGCGGTCATCAACGTGAACGTGTCTCACCGTAGCCTGATACGGCTGTCCAAATGCCGCTTGATGACCCGGGGCCTTCACCATCGTCCCGCCCGTTGCTATCCTCTGTCCACGTGGAAGCGCTTGATTTGCTCTAGGGGTTGTTGTTAGACTGGCGCACATGGGAACGATCAATGAAGACATACTGGACAGCGAGTTCAACGCCCGTCATCTCATCCGTGACAAGCTGGTTCTCGTCGCCGAAGGTTTTGTCGAGCTTGTGGACGTTATAGATGACGCCGCCGAACTGTCATTGCAGTGGTCAAATAACGCAAGGATGTAAAGGCTACGAGATGCTTACAACTTTGTTCCAAGTCGGGTTCTCATCATCAGGACCGTCCTTCGTCCACAATATGATTGAGCGCATTCGTTGGTCTTCGGCAGGAGGGGCGCAGATCCGGTGCATTAAGCCGTTGATTAGAATGTACCCGTCCTCGTCGAAGGCCCCGGACTCTAGTCCTTTCTCGACCTGCTCTCGCGTCTCGACAAAGTGCCGATTGTTGAACGCCTCGACTTCATCGTCAGCGAGGCTGCATAAGAGTAAGAAAGATCTTCTGCGATCGCGCAAGATGAGGGCTTGTGTCAATGCTCACCGCTCAAGACCAATCCACACCGCGTCCTGACGACACTTCCGACCACTCCGTCTTGCGCCTGAGAAGATCTCTCGGTAATCGTTGGATGCATCCCAACACTTCTTGAAGTGTGAGGGCACGAAGTCATTCTTGCCCGAGGCGGCTTCACATCGTTTGATTCTTTCAATGACGTAGCCACGAAAGAGGGAGTAGATTTGTTGACAGCTGACGTCCTTAGTTGCTGGTGCCTAAAAAGCGTTATCGTTCACCGGCAGTCTTGAAAACAATCTGAACGAAACGCACCTCTATGACCTTGACCAAGTCGTATGCAGTCTGTAACGCGGCTCAGTCCATTCTCTCAAAACACCTGTGTTGCAGAGACTCACGGTCGAGCTGTTTGCATTCCCCGCACGGTTGGCCCTTTTCCCAAGAGGAATTTGGACACACTCCATGAGAAAGACATCTTGGTTCACCAGCGACAACGCAAGGCTGTCTGCGTGCTCTAGAGAATTGGAGGTGGGCCACTCCTCGACGATGTCGCTGAAGATTTCCCGCAAGAGCTTTTTCTTAGCTTTGCTGAGTGAACCCAATCTCACTTCCGGTCTCGCTGTGTCTGCATGTTAATACATGAATTCATACAACGATGGATGCATTCACCTGGGTACAGTGGCCCTACCAACGCCTTCTCGGACTCTCCAGGAAGCCGGTATCCGGTTTCTGCACATCGTTGCCATTTGTCGTCAGATTCAGCCCAATGATCTGCGACGATGTCTTCACGGAGCGGGGTGAGCGGGGTGAGCGGGCGAGAAAGCGACGGATATTTGTCAGTGTGAACATCGTCCTTTGTGAGGACTGAGATTTCAGGTTTAGCGCGCTTAGACTGAGGAGAGGCCATTTCGTGGTGGATTATGTAAAGGGGCGACGTAACTCCAAACACCGGATAAAAAGTCGGCAAAAAAGGACAATGGCACTGACATGAAGCACGAAGCATCCGCTCTCATAGAACTTTTGTTATCGTGCGTACTTTAAGCAGAGGATCCGCCTTCATAAGACTTCTCGTACCGCAAAAAGGTCGGGGCGTGCGAGGAAGAGGATGTGAAACAACTAAT